ACCAAAAGAGTGACTAGTCACAACAGCATCTAATTAAAGTGATATTAAAGGCAATTAAAAAAGAAAACATGTCATGCTTACCTGCTCTGTGCAGAGGGTAATGCACAGAGCAGCCCCATTCCTCTTCTCAGGTCCCCCGCAGGCACTCCTGGCCCTTCCGTCCTGCCAGGTGCCCCCAGAGCATGCAGCTTGCTATGGGGGCACCCAAGCAGGCTTGCTCCTGAGCCGCTGCTTTGTGTGTCCATTCACACACAGAGCTGTGGTTGGCCTAGCCCTCTCTCTCTCTCTCTCTCTCTCTCCTCATTGGCATACTGACTGCGATCGACAGCAGCAGGGGCCAATGGCTCCTACTGCTGTATCAGCCAATGAGGAGGGAGAGTCCCTGGAGAGCCGAGGCACATCACTGAATCGTGATTGGGCTCAGGTAAGTATTGGGAGGGTGTTGCACACAGAAGGTGTTTTTACCTTCAAGCATAAACTGCATGAAGGTAAAAAACCTTGAGCCTTTACAACCACTTTAAGTTCACCTTTTTTGTTCTAAATTCCAGCTCCCCTGTGTACCAATATACCATTACTGTACCTCTGTTGCAGAAAAATAAAAGCTCTCTTTGATTTTGAGAACAAGGTCTTATCTTAGCTCTTGCTGAATTCCTTAGAAAAGCTTTCTCACTTGCTGGTATGTAGATTTAAAACCCAGTCACATCAAGCCTGACTTTGAAATTGTGGGACTTCACTATAAGCCGCACGATTTCAAAGTCGGGTGACATGCCGATTTCAGGTGTGACACAGATGTCTATGCAAATTGCACCAAAAGTAGTGCATGTACTACTTTAGAAATTGGTGTGGCTCCGACTAAGTCGTAACCACACTGATATGACCACTCTAATAGCGGACAGTAGGGTGCGACTTGGCATGCAATTTTCTAGTCGCATAGCATGAAAATCGCATGCCAAGTCGCATCCGATGTGACCGGGGTGTGAGGACAGAAAAACCAGTAAGACACAGGAAGAATTTCATCAGCTGACCTCATTAGCACACTCTTCTGGCTGTCTTCCGCGCTTGCAGCAGATCACTACCACCCACTTCTACAAGTGATCCGTTTTCCAATGCACTTAACCTCCCTGGAGGTATTCCCGAGTGTAGCTCGAGATAAACTTTCAGTACCAAAAGCGGTAACCCCGAGCTACACTTGGGATTACCCTGCAGCTTTGCTCCGGGATCCCTGTTTCACTTACCTTGTCCCTCGCTCCCACGATGTCCCTCTGCAGCGTCCCCGGCAGAGGCGGATAGGCAACCCATGGGGCCCCCGGGCAATAGGGGATCATGGGGCCCCTCTGTCCTCGCCCACACTCAAACCACACCCAAAAAAGCCTATGAAAGGTACCAGGGGCATCTCATGGGGCCCCCTACTGACCCCTGGCCCTCGGGCAGTGCCCGAGCGCCAAAATGGTCAGTCCTCCCCTGGTCTCCGGCCATCTCCTCCGGCCAATGCCGGCATCCGTATTCCGGGTTCCAGTCCCTGCGAGCGTCGGGATGTATGGGGGACTGAACCGGCAGGAAATAAAAAATTTTTAAAAGTGACATTCACTCAATACACTAAAATCACATAGTAAAACATTACTGTATCAAACCATTTCACATACATTTTGTCCCTAGTGCTTTGTCCTGTGCCCTGCCTGTATTTTTACTGTTCTTTCTGCCTGGAAACTGAGAAATGTCCATGGTGTCCAAAAAGCATCCCTTTAGGTCAAAAGCGGTTTTAGACCAGCTAGAGAACAGCGATAGTAAGTTAGAACCACTTGTAGAATTGAGTGATAATGATTCGTGGGGAAATTCGTCATCAGACACTGAAAACGATTTTGTGACTAAGCTCAGTGATGTGTAAACTTGGCGCTATATTTCATATTTCAGTGTTTTTGGTTTGATTACATTATTGAATTAAATTTATTATTATATTATATTTTTATTTTAATGATTATTTATTAAATTATAATTTATGATTTCATGTTTCAAATTTTATCATACCGGGGATGTTTACTAGACTTTTGTTCGGACAGATTTCAGAGAGTTATTCCTAAAAATCTACAATAAAAAAAGACATATTTCCATGCAAAAAAATGTACCGCTTTGAGCACAGAAATATTGACATAATCAGAACGCTAGGGAGGGTAATCAGTGATCACTGTTCTAACTAAATTCACAGGCATCAATTTTGTTTATCTTAATTTCATCTTGCATAGATCATTCATTTAGCAGAGTGTGCTGTGCGATCAGACAACAGCCTATGTGGATAGAGCTGTAGTATTGAAAACAAGAGAAGTGTATCCTGTGTTCTATAAAGCTCACCATACATTCTACTATATGATTGTACAATCTCCTTTAGATCTATCATCAACTACGTAGTGCAAGGGCCAGCCTGATTGGATACAGAGTGATTGGATAGATAGTGTGTCCTCCTATTATATAACTTTGGTAAATCTAAAGGAGGCCACACAATATGTCAGCTTGGCAAAACTAGCAGTTGCCTAAAGGTTCTTATCCAGCAGATACTTTCCATCCACCATGATTGCTTGTGCACCATACTTGTTGAGATTGTGATTTTCTAGACATGAATTCTGTTCACTGTTTTTGATTGTGATACCTAGAGGAACTTGAGAAAGATGGCAGTATACTATATTATATATACTATGTTATATGACTTTAACTACCACACATGGCACTTAAAGTGGAGCTCCACCCAAAAGGGGAAGTTCCGCTTTAAGCCTTTGTCCTTTGTCCCCCGCTCCCCGTTATGGATTGGCACTTTTGGGGAGCAGGGGGGAGTGGGTACCTAAATTTGACAGGTACCTGCTCCCACTTCTGCTGTGATTGCCTAGGCGATTGGAAGTGGAAGTTGTCCTCCCCTTCCTGTAGTCTTCTGGGACATGTGACAGGTCCCAGAAGACTACATGGCCATTCACAAAGCGCAGTGCTTCTTGCACATTCGCAGTGGGCACCCGGCTGTGAAGCCGCAAGCTGCCACAGCTGGGTGCTCACACTGAAGATGCCGGCTCCAGGAAGACAAGACGGCTGATGAAACCAGCGGTGGTGAGGACACCGCTGGACCGAGGGACAGGTAAGTGGCTGTATTTTAAAAGTCAGCAGCTACAGTTTTTGCAGCTGCTGACTTTTATTAGTTTTTTTTTCAGGTGGAACTTCTCTTTAAATCCTTCCATATCAACCCAATATGGTCCACCTCCTTTTAACACTGTGCTTTCCAGTGGGTTAGTAAGGCCAACCATTATATGTGGTTGACAATAGGAAGATGAGGAAGAGTTGGACAATTACAGGATAACACCAGTTGTAAGTACAATACACATGTGAGAGACTTCTGGATTTTTGTCATCCTGCAGCAATCTGGAGATGACCCACAGTTTGCACTAGGCTAGACATGTGCAGAATGAAAATATTTGTTTTGTTTTAATTCGTTATATAAATAGATTTGTTTAGGTAAATTTGTTCAATTCTTTTTTGGAATTCGTTTCGTTTCATTTCGTTTATTAATTTTCTGAATTTTCCGAAGGCTACCGGGCACTATGATTACTCCTGTGCATTTAATATTGTTATTAATATTAATGATTACAGAGCGGCATTAATTTGAGTCCTTTTCATCTGCCTGATTATCAGCTTTAAACACAGATGGTACTTATCAGAGTTCTCTTTTAAATGTAGTTATTTAATATAAGCTGATACTGTATGTGCTTTAGTTTAATGATCCTTTAGATATATTTGCATAGATCAGTGGTAAGCTAATAATTAGGTTTGTATTTTTGCATGCTATGAAGATTTAGCAGCTCAGTGTGACTTTACATTAAATCTATTAAGGGCAATGGAAGACATTCCAGTGAGCACGTCTTACACTTTACTTTGGGTGACTCTGTGGGAAAATAACGTCTTTGATCTTCCCGAGTCTTATAAATGTCATCATGCCTATAAATGTCTTCATCTTTGCGGCGTTCGTAAAAAAAAATTCTTAACTGTGTGTGAAGTTACCAAAATCTGAAAATAATTACCAAGACAAACTACAAAATCTGCATAGAATTTTAAATAGCAAGTTGTTTTTCATTTTCCAAATGTACATTTTTATTTTCATTTACATTTTCAAAATGTACAGAGGTTTATGATAATAAACATTATTTATAACAATGAAAAATGCTGTCATTTTCATTATTTTATTGCTGGGGTGCCAGAAAATGATATTAAGCTCTATAAACCTAAAACAAAAGCCAGCTGAGCTATTTATAATGTTTATAGGATTTAAGGTAAAGTTTCAGGGTAAGAGAGGAGCTTACAAAACGACTTTCTCCTATCCTCACTTACAGGCTTGTAAATTTGCCAATCATGTGAGATTTTGATCCATCACAATTGAATCGCCCATTTCTGATCTAATGAGTAAACAGGGATGATTTTTAAAGAGGAGGCAATTAAAGCAGTAATAAAGTGTGAAAAAAAACTTCCCCCTGCAAGTTAATGCCATAATGTGCTAGTATCCATTGCACACTAGCACATTATGAAAGGACTTCCCTTAAAAAAAAAGCACTCCAGTGGCACCCTGTAATGCTGACTGGGTTTCCATCTTCACTCAGTCTTCCTTTCAGGTTCGTTTGAATAGCCAAGCAGAGATGGTATCCCTCTCGCTCATGCACAAGGGAGCCATAATCATGGCACAGCACTCTGAAGGGACCACATACTCAGCAAGGAATTTTGGCGTGGCTCTGGTTGTTGGCAGTGTATGTTTTTTCAGCATGGAGGTAATTGACTAATTGAGAGATGTGGTCCCTTTTTATCCTATGATGCATCCAATACTATGAACTTGCACATAGGCTATTAGGATTTTTGCTTATATACAATCAAACAAAGTTCAGTCTTCTGAAAGTCAGCAATGAATGGAAAGAGATTAATAATCAAGATGGCTATATTGAGATATCTTTTTCGGTGATGCCTCTTCTTTATACCAGACTATGAATTATTTGGCCTCTGTTGTTGTGCTTATCTAACTATTGCAACAAGGCCTACTACTACCTGCTGGCCGCCTGCCCTCCTATGTGCTCCAGTGCCCGCCCAAGGGGATTACCTATGTCACAGATACTCAAATACCTATGTCACAGATATGCTCAAATAAGTAACCTCATGCATCCCAAGGAAGCAAAATAAGAGAAATGTGTTGACTCATGAGGACTCGCAACCACAATATATTTCTCTATACATCGAACAAGAATATATTTTCTGAAATACGATAATTTCTTGTGGTTTAGTAAGCCAGCTGTTGAAATTGTCCAGAAAACAGTATTGAGCAGTTTTTATTTTATTATGATGATTTATCTACTGTATTTTTTAATTTGTAATAAAATGTTGTAATTTTTATATATACTATATTGCCAAAAGTATTGAGATGCCTGCCTTTACATGCACATGAACTTTAATGGCATCCCAGTCTTTGTCCATATGCCTCAATATTGAGTTGGCCCACCCTTTGCAGCTATAACAGCTTTAACTCTTCTGGGAAGGCTGTCCACAAGGTTTAGGAGTGTGTCTATGGGAATGTTTGATCATTCTTCCAGAAGTGCATTTGTGAGGTCAGGCACTGATGTCGGATGAGAAGGCCTGGCTCGCAGTCTCTGCTCTAATTCATCCCAAAGGTGTTCTTTCGGGTTGAAGTCAGGACTCTGTGCAGGCCAGTCAGGTTTCTCCACCCCAAACTCGCTCAGCCATGTCTTTGTGGACCTTGCTTTGTGCACTGGTGCGCAGTCATATTGGAACAGGAAGGGACCATCCCCAAACTGTTCCCACAAAGTTAGGAGCATGAAATTGTCCAAAATGTCTTGGTATGCTGACGCCTTAAGAGTTCCCTTCACTGAAACTGAGGGGCCAAGCCCAACCCTTGAATAACAACCCCACATCGTTATCCCCCCTCCATCAAAATTTACACTTGGCACAATGCAGTCTAGCAAGTACTGTTCTCCTGGCAACTGCCAAACGCAGACATGACCATTGGATTGCCAGACAGAGAAGCGTGATTTGTAATTCCAGAGAACACATCTTCACTGCTCTAGAGTCCAGTGATGACATGCTTTACACCACTGCATCCAATGCTTAGCATTGCACTTGGTGATGTGAGGCTTGGATACAGCTGCTTGACCATGGAAATCCATTCCATGAAGCTCTCTACACACTGTTGTTGTGCTAATCTGAAAGCCACATGAAGTTTGGAGGTTTTTAGCTATTGACTCTGCAGATAGTTGGCCACTTCTGCGCACTGTGGCTTACCACTTTGTGGCTGAGTTGCTGTTGTTCCCAGTTGCTTCCACTTTGTTATAATACCACTAACAGTTGACCGTGGAATATTTATTAGCAAGGAAATTTCATGGATGGACTGATTGCACAGGTGGCAACCTATCACGGTACCATGCTTGAATTCACTGAGCTCCTGAGAGTGACCCATTCTTTCAAAAATGTTTGTAGAAGCAGTCTGCATGCCTAGGTGCTTGATTTTATACAACTGTGTTGATGGAGGTGATTGAAACACCTGACTTCAATGATTTGGAGGGGTCCCCAATACCTTTGGCAATTTAGTGTATACATGCGCATCTCTTCTATCCAGTAAAGTCCAAAATATTATTTTTCTTTGTGTATATATGATTATCATGGATGTGGCATACAAGCGGCAAGCGGTCTATATTCCTTACTCCCAACTGTTCCTAATTTGAGGGCCCTTTTTTTGTAACAAAATTTCTCTGTCCCTCATTCTTCCTTAGTTGTCCCTCTTTTGGGCCTGGTATAAGGATTTCTATTTTTAAAAAAAGTATTACTTATTCAACAAAAGTGTTTTACTGCACTAAAATGTTTATCTAAAATTTTAATTATTCTATTTGTTATTTTCAAAAAGCCAAAATAAAGATAATGATTTAAAAAATTGGGGTTAAGCCAATCATTTTTTGTGCATTAATCCTCATGGTTTGTGTTACTGGAGAAATGGTAGGGGTGTGTCCTTTGCCTGTATACTTTAAATTAGGCTGGGGGTAAAGAAGAGAGATGTAGGGCATACATGACTGAGTTAAAGAGGGGTTTGGCATAGGGAAAATATGACATAAGAGTGCTTACCTTATTGATGGGTCAGAAAGAAGTAGAAGTGGCTTCTGGAGATGGTTGGAGAAAGGTCTCAAGAAAGTCTTCAGATGTAAGATAGCTGGTGTCAGGAGAACTTCTCATCTTTTATTTTGATGGTTATTGTCCTTCTGCTATGTTACAGGTTGGTCCATATCGTCATAGCAGCTGGCAAGGTTCAAGATCCTTGAAGGTGGTCATTATGGTAAAATGTAAATTGGTAGCGATCCATCGTGGGTACAGCTTCCCTTGTTTTATATGGTTCAGTGACAGTGAGATGGGGGTCGTTCATGGTAGTAATTATTGGTGCAATTGTCTCCTACTGTACGCAGTTACTCAGTTAAGCAAAAATGCCTACAAGGACCTTGGGGTACCTTTTATATTATATGGAATGTTATATTTTTTTTTATACATTTTTTAATAATAGTCTGCTGTGGCCATTAAATTTCAATGTGTATCTCGTGTGGGTTACTTAGATATTGATGAAGTGGTGGAGTGGAGGTTCAGGCAGTATGAGAAACAAATCCATCTTTAATACCCCGGTCAAGCTATAAGCTGTTCCTCTTTCCCATCTCTCAAAGTTAGGAAGTATGCCAGAATTATGCCAATACTACTTGTAGTAGCATGTGGGCAAACTTATAATGAAAACATTTAGCCTCTTTCTATGGACAGAACTGGTGATGCCTATGGACACAAAGCCTTTGTGCTGCAGGTTGTGCTGAGGAATAGCTCATCCATAATCCAATATTTATGGAATTAATAACGCACTATGGTTTCCTGTTTTCTTATATCAATTTATAGCTTTCCCTCATTAGTAACCAAGCTAATAAAAGAGGATAAGTCCTGTGAATAATACCCCCTGCACCAGAGGAACTTGTTGCACTAGAAAAACCAGCTTATACTTTAAAAGGAGTTGAAAGTACAAAACTATTCCTTTGTTCTTACAAGATCAGATAAACACAAATCACTGAATAAGTAAACAAGGGCGGCACAGCAGATCTTCCAAGAGCAATGTCCAGGCCAAATGTAGAAAGGTGCAGAATCCATTGCAGATCTAAAACTTTCACACAATAATCTCTTAATACTACACTCACCACCATTAACTACAGACAGTGCAGCAGGTTCCCACCAGTCCTCATAATTGAAGTGTGCTTATTTATATGACTAAATGGACAGCCCAGGGTGAAGAAGCACAATTTAAACAGCTCAAAGCAGCCTTTAGTGCGTAAAACGTTTGGTTTAGTTATGCTTTAAGGGGAACCTGCCACTAAAACTTTTAGCAACAGCTGGGATATCTTTGTACAAGGAAGCAACTCATTGCTGGTAAACTCCACTTCCTGTTTTGGGTATGGAACAGGAAGTGAAGGGAGGAAGTAAAGGGAGATATCTCAATGAGACATAGATGGCAAAATCCTGACACCGATTTTAACCCTTCCTTATTCTGTCCAAAACTAGAAAACAGCTTTGCCTTCAGTTCTACTTTAACCACTTCAAGTCCAGACACTTTTACCCCCTTCCTGTCCAGGCCAATTTTCTGCTTTCAGCGCTATCGCAGCGTATCTGAGCATCACAAACTAAATACGCTTTTTAATTCATTTTTATTATTCAAAACAAGCTCACCGACCCTCTGCATAGGGGGCTGCTCCAAACTTGGTCATTTGATTGGGTCATATCCAGTCTTCCTTGTTGCATCTACTTTTTGGTTATCTGGTTTGTGTCAGTGAACGATAGCCCAACAATGGAAAGTTGGGGCCATGTGTTATGTATTTGGAGGGCTCCCTCACCTGTTATTAGGCCCTGGGAAACATTAACTTGTTGTTTTGTTGTGCATGCAGGGCCATATGGCATTGTTGTCTTTGTCTGTTTCCTTTTACTCTGTATATTGGTTTTAAACCTCAAAACCAACAAAACTTTTTCTTAATATATATAGTATCTCACAGAAGTGAGTACACCCCTCACATTTTTGTAAATATTTTATTATATATTTTCATGTGACAACACTGCAGAAATTACACTTTGCTACAATGTAAAGTGGTGAGTGCACAGCTTGCATAACAGTGTAAATTTGCTGTCCCCTCAAAATAACTTAACGCACAGCCATTAATGTCAAAACCGCTGGCAACAAAAGTGAGTACACACCTAAGTGAAAATGTCCAAACTGGGCCCAATTAGCCATTTTCCCTCCCCGGTGTCATGTGACTCGTTAGTGTTACAAGGTCTCAGGTGTGGATGGGGAGCAGGTGTGTTAAATTTGGTTTTATCACTCTCACTCTCTCATACTGGTCACTGGAAGTTCAATATGGCACCTCATGGCAAAGAACTCTGAGGATCTGAAAAAAAGAATTGTTGCTCTATATAAAGATGCCTAGGCTATAAGAAGATTGCCAAGACCCTGAAACTGAGCTGCAGCATGGTGGCCAAGACCATACAGCGGTTTGACAGGACAGGTTCCACTCAGAACAGACCTCACCATGGTCCACCAAAGAAATTGAGTGCACGTGCTCAGCGTCATATCCAGAGGTATGAGTGCTGCCCGCATTGCTGCAGAGGTTGAAGGGGTGGGGGGTCAGCCTGTCAGTGCTCAGACCATACGCCGCACACTGCATCAAATTGGTCTGCATGGCTGTCGTCCCAGAAGGAAGCCTCTTCTAAAGATGATGCACAAGGAAGCCCGCAAACAGTTTGCTGAAGACAAGCAGACTAAGGACATGGATTACTGGAACCACGTCCTATGGTCTAATAAGACCAAGATAAACTTATTTGGTTCAGATGGTGTCAAGCGTGTGTGGTGGCAACCAGGTGAGGAGTACAAAGACAAGCGTGTTTTGCCTACAGTCAAGCATGGTGGTGGGAGTTTCATGGTCTGGGACTGCATGAGTGATGCCGACACTGGGGAGCTACAGTTCATTGAGGGAACCATGAATGCCAACATGTACTGTGACATACTGAAGCAGAGCATGATCCCCTGCCTTCGGAGACTGGGCCGCAGGGCAGTATTCCAACATGACGACCCCCAAACACACCTCCAAGACAACCACTGCCTTGCTAAAGAAGCTGAGGGTAAAGGTGATGGACTGGCCAAGCATGTCTCCAGACCTAAACCCTATTGAGAATCTGCAGGGCAGAAGGTGGAGGAGCGCAAGGTCTTTAACATCCACCAGTTCTGTGTTGTCATCATGGAGGAGTGGAAGAGAACTCCAGTGGCAACCTGTGAACTTCTGGTGAACTCCATATACAAGAGGGTTAAGGCAGTGCTGAAAAATAATGGTGGCCACACAAAATATTGACACTTTGGGCCCAATTTGGACATTTTCACTTAGGTGTGTACTCACTTTTGTTGCAAGCGGTTTAGACATTAATGGCTGTGTGTTGAGTTATTTTGAGGGGACAGCAAATTTACACTGTTATACAAGCTGTACGCTCACTACTTTACATTATAGCAAAGTGTAATTCCTTCAGTGTTGCCACATAAAAAGATACAATAAAATATTTACAAAAATGTGAGGGGTGTACTCACTTCTGTGAGATACTGTATTTTTCCTGGGTTTAGATATGCTTTACATTTTCTTTTTTTGTAGTATATGTTGTAAAGAGTACAGAATACCAATACTATATTTATAATAAACAGCTATCCCCATTTATATGATATTGAGTTATCCTTGAAGAGAGGGTTATACCTGTCCCAGCCCCTCACTCCATGCAGAGAAAGGCATTTGGTGATAGTATGACCTCATGTGACCCTCCATGCTTCTTCGTCTGGTAATGTATGGCTACTTCGTTGGCATGCTTGGGAACAAGACTCTTAGGAAAAATAACAATAAGGCAGATCACAGCTTTCCAAGAGTCTGAAAGAAATAGGATTTAGGTTTTCATGGCCCACTAGAGTCAGTTAAATGGTCAGAAATAAAAGGGCTTTGACCTGTGGATTTCCTGGAGGCAGAAGGGGCATCCTGGCTTCAGCCTGGCTCTTCTCACCACAGCTCAGGGATCATAAAGAAGCAAAGGTCACTGACCCCTGGCATGGAAATGCAGAAACACACTGAAGCAGTTGGTGTATTTACTTTTATCTGGCAGAAGAGATAGATGGTGACCTTGATAAAATGTCTGCCATAATGACTTTTTTAATGAGATTCTAGAACTTGTTGTCATAAGCAAGATTAATAAATGACTCAGAAGGAAAAGATGTCAATAAAGCCATAATTAATACAAACTTGTAAATGAATGCAACTCATTTGTTGATGATGTAATACTGATGCTATTATTAAGAACAATGTATCTGTAGTGTGAATTCAAGAATTCATTATCTAGCTTCTATTATTTTATTATCATATCAACAATAAGAAAGCTAGAAGAAATCCAATTGTCTGTGTTGGCTGCTGTCATTCAGATGCTAAGGAGAACAGTACAGTAATATTAAAACAGTATTAAACCCA